CTTTGAAAATCTAACCCTACTTCTCCTTGGTAGGGCTGTAACCTCTGGCCAAGAAATCTTTAAGTTTATTTTACTTCTTTGATTTTAAGGGAGAAATCATGGAACTAGGCACTTTGAAACTGGAAAAAAAAAAAAAAACAGAAAAAAGAGATTTCCATGTATTACAACAGTGAACTTTCATATTAAGTATTCTAAATGATAATCAGAGTCAAAATAAACTATTTTATTTAAATGAAAGCAATTCTGACTATTTCAAATAAATTATATTAAACAATTAATGTATTTTTAAAACATCTAGGGAATTCTCTGGCTATCCAATGGTTAGGACTCCACACTTCAACTGTAGCGAGTACAGGTTCAATACCTGGTTGAGAAACTAAGATCTCACAAGCCTTCAGCACAGCCAAAAAACTAAAGGATTAAGTAGAAGAGCTTTAAAAACCTAAAAAAAAACCACATCTAATTAAATACAAATACTCTACAAATCAAAGGCGAGAAAATAAAATGAATCAAAATTAATTCTAAGACATCTTAGAAATTATTCAGATATATAAAATATACAAACATAAAAAGCACTGGTACACGAATAAAAAAATAGATGACTAAAATCTAAATACTATTTCTTAAAATAACAAGTCCAGTGATGCCTAATTATTTTACAAAGATATTTTATAATTAATTTGCTAATTGCAAATAAGGCAGGTACTGAAATGGCTAGCGGTTAGATCTTTTTCTAGGTTTCTCTTTTAAAATACATACTATCCAGAAATATAACTAAATACATCAAGGAGGAAAAAACATATCTGTAGAGTTCTACTGTACACCTCCTGGATTTGACAGAAATAGTCAAATCTTACTATTATCATTTTGATGACTTGATCATCACTTTTTGTATTTCAGAACTATTAGAGGAGTAAGGGACAGAATAATTCAAATAATGAAAATGAAAATATAAACCATAATTCTTATGGGAATTCTTATGGGAAAGAACAGTAAGCCCAAACATAACTACAAAATAACTGTCCATTTGGAAAGCCTCAGCTACCTTAGTTCTAAACAAGAGCCATCAAGGGCAGATCTTCCACTTACTACCTTCTTCACACGAACTTTCTTGCAGATCAGATCCTAGTTGCCAGACATCTTCTTGATAATACAAAAACTAAGCACCCACTGTGTATCATTAAGACATTAAAAATCAATAATTTTCTATAAAAGATCATTATTTCAGCTGCATGTCAATATTTCACATGCATTTTTCAGTGTTAAAAAAACCACTAACCCAAGTACAAATTACATCTTCTATAACTCTGAAGCATTCACAAATTCTTACTTTAAAAACATGCACAAATTTCACAATTAAAATTAGGCTGAGTCTAAATCCAGTACACAACCCACAAATACCAACACTGTATCTACCTTAGAGATATGCTTAAAATGAATACTTAATAAGAACGTGATTTTGATTTTGTTGTGCAGAATGTAAGGCAGATGGTGGCTAAGATGAAATGCCTCTTGAAATTAACCGGGAAAAACATGGATATAAAAGTGAAGACATTAGATCTGTTAACATAGTATTTCATTTCTGTGAAACATGTCATAACATAAATGCCCAAGGAAAGAAAACTAGTATAGAAAAAAGAAAAATGTTCTTGTCAAAAGCAGAGTGAGGGCTGTGAAATCGGATGAGAATGTTTTTAAGAAATCATAAAACTGTTCTGTGTACTTCAATCATCCATGTTTTCAGCATTCTACATGCATCTCTTTAAACGGAGTCAGAGACAACCTTCTATGCATATGACTTGCCTACCCCACAGCTAGGAGAGAGGGTAAATTAGATGCTAAGTGCCTGGCAAACAGAAGTCCTTCAGGTAGTACAAGGGCTGCTATCCTCCTACCTTGACTGTGGACATTAGAAGCCTGGAATTAAATACAAATCATGTTTATTTTTAAAAATGTGTTTCAGAGGTTTGACAACTCTTTTCCCACTGTGGACACTAGTTAACATTATTATCAATTGACCCATATTAGCAAAGCAAAAGCTCTTTCTTAAATATATATACAATGCAGTATGAATTAAGCCATAATTCATGGATTACAATAATTACTTCCTAATATGGACAGACCTTGGCAAGGTGCACAGAAACCACCTCCACACTCTATAAAGGCTTGGAGCAAAAAAAAAACCAGTCCTAAGCATATTTTTATTAACTACTAACATTTAAAAAATGAAACCATTTTCATTAGGCTCAACTAATTAGGCAAGTTTCTCAGGATATTAAAAGGTTTAACAACAAAACTAAACCTTCACTAGAAAAATTCCTAAAAGAGGAAAAATTATATCTGCATTAAAGCCCTAAAAGTCCATGGTGTCATATGGCTGAGTCCCTTTGCTGTTCACCTGAAACTACCATAATTTTTAATTATGTATGTTAATCAGCTATACTCCAATACAAAATAAAAAGTTCAAAGTCGGGGGGCGGGGGTGGGGGAGTCCATGATGTCAAAAGCCTTTTGGATTTTCTCAAAGTATGTTAAAGTGTGTAAGGCAAGAGGGTGTTTAGAAAGGCCACTCATTGGACAGACTTTAGTGTATTTTATTAATGGAACTGGTTATATAGCTGTTTTAAACAATATAGGGAAGACAGTATTAGTGTATTTTTAAAACTTCACTTGATAGAAATGAGTAGTGGCACCTTATCTACACAGATTTAAAAGAAAAAAAAAAATCAAACATTACCAGCAATATTCAAGTTCTAAAGAAGTAGGAATGTATAAACACAGCACTGGTAGAGAAAAAGAACTACAAACTTGAGATTACCCATACCAAACGTAATCCCAGTTCGATTCTGCAGTAGCTTCCATTATAAGAGAAAAGGCTAACATTTAACATTCATAAAACCACAAGCAAGTCTCACTCTCCTAAATTTACCTAGCCTATTTTCTGACCTTTTCCACAATGTGTTAGAACTGCAACATTTGAAATAAGACAAAAACCTTTAAAAGAACTTTTAAAAGCGGTATCTATTCTTGTTATAATTTATCATTTTGAAATGAGAGAAGAGGGTAACAGTTCACAAAGTCACAAGTAGTTTCTTCAACACGGAAAACAAGCAACAGAAACCAACCTCACTAAAGAACTGTTAGGGCAACCATAGATTGAATAGAGAAATCCAAGTAGTTATTTGAAGAGAAGTAAACAGTAAAAATGTCTATTGCAAATATCAGGTAATCAAAAAAGCACTTAGGCTTCATAATGCATTTTAAAGAATTTTCCGTTTATAAAAGTGTCACCATTCAAACACATTCTGAATTCCTTAAGACAGTCGAGGATTGTTGGTTTAACAAGCAACCTGCAAGAACCGCACATCAGAAAGAACCACCGAGCAGTAATAATGTTTTTTTAAACTTTTCCTCAAGGAAGGAACAAGTCACAATGAATAATGGGTCTGTCTGTAGCAATAACTTGTTCTAACAGTACTTCACGAGCAAAGCGTCTTGAAAGAATTCACATTTTGTGCCTTTTTTTTTTTTTCTATAAAAGCGCAAACCTTAGGGCCAAAGTCCAAGCGAGAAATCAAAACAGGACTCCCGTCAGTGAATTATCTTTCAGGACATGCTCACTCTTGCTTCAAACGGTAAAGCAAAGTAACTTCCATGAAGGAGAAAAGTCAGTCAGGCTTCTTGTCCAATAGCCATTAAAAAAAAAAAAAAGGAACTTACTTCTTAACTATGCCTTTCCCCCCATGTTTCCCTTAAAGTTTCAGGTCAAAGCTCCACCGTGTCAAAGATTGAGTAATCCACTGATCTTTGTACCTTAAGGTAAAGGAGTGGAATAAAAAAGGATATTACAGGTGGCTTCCAGGTTTGGAAAAAGTTGGGAGGAGCTATCTGGAGTAACTGTATATGTCAGTGAATGGTGTAATGTTATGCCGTGTAAGAAAAGCTAATCTCCCAAAAAACAACCAGCATAAAATAAAACGGAGTCCAAACTCAAGCATCACCAAACACCTTTTCACCAGTTTTTTAAAAGATGTATGTTATTTGTGGGTTTGATTACTAATTCACTTTGAATTCCAACAGTCTACCCTTCACTAAAGCTTCTAAACTGAAACCGCCAGGTTTAATAGCTCTACTAGAACTGACACCAAAAGCAGCAAACATTTTCCCGTATCCCCATCAGACAAAAAAAAAAAAAAAAACGGGGGAGGGGGTGTGCCTGACATTCACAACTTATTCCAGTCCGAAGCAAGAAAACACAGTGACTAAATTCCACCAGGGGTGATTAAAAATCCCGAATTTCCCACAAAGCTGTCCCCACACCAAGGGAAGCCCTTTACTTTCACGATCCTAAGAAGAAAAATAGTCCAGGGGAAGGGGGGGTGGGGGGAGTCGGGGACCGAGTTATAATATTTACAATGAGACGAAGGGAACTTAAGTGAAGCTACGGAGGCGAAGAAAGGTAACCCGAGAAAGGAAGGAAAGGTGGATGAGAAAGCGGGGGGCAGGGAAGGGACGGGAGAGGCTGGCGGAGCAGAGAGTAGGGGCTATCCCTTCGGGGGGAGGCAGCCCTCTGGGGCTGCGGAGAAATGGGGGGGTCCGGGCGCTCACGGAAACCCCGAGGCGGCTGCTGCGGGAAACAATGGGGAGATGAGGCCGGGAGCCGGCGGCGGCGGGGAGACGCCGGGGAGACGCCGGGGAGCGGGCGGTTGGGTGCGGAGAGAGGACAGAGGACAGAGGGCTGCGCCAGGACCGGAGGCGGCCGGGCGGCGAGGGACGAGGTGGGGGGCGGCCGGCCGGCTGCGGCGGGGCCCCCGGGGACGCGGAAGGCGACGGGCTCGTCAGGGACGCTCCAGACCGGGAACGGATACCGCGAGGGCAGGTGTGATGGAGGCAAGAGACAGAGAACACGGCTGCGGGGGGGAAGCCAGGACCCGCCGGGCCCCAAGGAGACCACAGCTGAAGGAAGAGGCAGCGTGAGACGCGCGGGGGCCGCCACTCACAGTCCAGGTGCTTCTTCTTGGGCCCCATGATCTCGTGGGTCGTGGCCTTGCATACTGTCTTGGACACGGCGGACCCGGTGACACTGTGCTGGGCGGCGGTGATCCGATCCGTCAGGCTCTGGCCGGACATCTCTGCGGCTCCTCCGCCAGCCCTCCCACTCGGCAACCGGCGGGGAACTGGGACCCCCAAGCGCCGGAGGGCCCCCCGCCGCCCCCCGCCCCCGCCGCACCCCCTTAACCCCGCACCGGCCCCCCTCCTCCTCCGCCTGCCGGCCCGGGGCGGGGCTCAGGGCCGCGCGCCGCCACCCGGACCGGAAAGAGCCGGCTCCGGTCCGCCGCGAGGTCAGGCACGGCGTCGGCTACTCCGCCGGCCCCCGCCTCAGTTTCAGCCCAGCCCTCCCCTGGTCAGCTGGAGCCCGGCAGGGCGAGAGGCACAGGCGGCTGCAGGAAAATGGCGGCGCCAGGCTCCTCCTCGGAGCTTTCCGGGCTGCCCCGGGTCACGTGACGCGGGCACCGCCCCTCCTCCTCCTCCTCCTCCGCCTCGTTCTCCTCCTCCTCCCGCCCCCTTTCTCCCTTCTCTGTCCTTTTCGGCACCCGCCCTCCCTCGCTCGGCGAGGGCAGAGCGGGGCGGCGCCCGCGCGATACGTGGTGGAACCCGCCCGGCGGGCGCAACAGGAGGCCCGCCCGCGGGAGAGGGGGGAGGGGAGAGTGCGCGGCTCGCCGCGTCACGTGATGCTCCCTGCCAACAGGTCGCCCGAGGCCGGGCTCGCGGGGGTCATAGAGAGGGGGCGGGGTCACATGAGGGGCGGGGTCACAGAGAGGGGCGGGCTCACGGAGAGGGGGCGGGCTCACGGGGAGGGGGCGGGGCGTGCGGCTGCGCCCCTCGCCCGCCTCCGGGGTGTCCCAGCCTTTGGTCGGAAGCGACGGTGTGACAAAGAGGAGGTGCGGCCGCTTCCTCAGCCCCTCCCTGAGGTGTCGGAACTCCCGGGGCTTTTTTTCGTTGTAGAATCAAGAACGGAGTGTTCAGTGATGCCCCCCGCCGCCCCTCCTAAGCCATCCTCCTGGCTTTAAGGGCAAGGCTTCCGTCGACCCATTCTCAGGCCTCTCCCTCCAGTGGGTATTGAAGCTCTCCCTGCTTCCTGACCCAGGAGGGTTGGGGTTTGTTTGTTTGTTTTCTTTCCCCCACCCTTTTTCTTGAGAAGCTTGGAAATACCACCTGTTTTTGTTTATCGTTTCTCTGAAAAGGCGACGCGTTGATGCCAGTCTATATTTGAATACTAATTGACCAGGGTTCTCTTGGGGCGTCAAATACGACAGGAAACACATAGCTTCACTGGAATTTCAAAAGGGAAGTAGTAGGATGATGTCACCAGAGATTAGCTTGACCCTACAAGGGCTGACTGCTGTGGTGATTAAAGGTCCAGACCATAGAAGGAAGTGAGAGGGTGGTGAATGGAGACGTCCCATTCAGAGAACCCAGACATCACCACCTGGCATCTCCCCCTGGTTTAGTCTTTGTTCTCTTTGGCCTCTTTTCTCTTGCATAAACCAGATTTTCAGGGAAAGAAGACACTGAAACCGTCCTGTGGGCATTTAGAAGAGTTATTATATCCTGTGAATCTGTTACATGAGATCCAGATCTCTTAACAAAGTCTTAAAATGTTATTAGGGCCCCACTTGCAACACTAAGGATAAATTTTTAAACCTCTATGAATGTTAATTTACCATGGTAGTCCTATGTAGTCTTGCCAGTTTCATATAAAATGCTAACATACTCAAAGTCTGTGTACACCATCTGCCAACCAAGTCCGAAATACTGTGCTTCAGTCTGGTGACTCTCAAAAGATGCAAAGCTAATAGATAGTTAATATTTTGTGTGTCATGAATTTTGTGGTCTCTTCTCATTCCCTTTCCCCTTTTTTTTTTTTTTTTTCATGATGGCTGGTGAAATTCTGCAGCACTATGCTTTTGCCAAGAACATAAAGTGCTTAAACCAGCAGGCTTCATCTTTGTCAAGCCAGACCAAATTTCTCAAAACTGTAATGACTTCCTTCAGTGCATCTGCAATCCGCCTGTGGTTTGATGCCCAGTTTGCTGCCCTGTGTCCATTGGGCCATGGAGTTACCCAATTTTCAAGACATCCTTGCTATTCTTCTCTGGGTTCTACTTAATTAGTTACTGGGTGGCCTCTGTGCTGGTACACCCACGGTGAGGTCAACAGGAGCTAAATCAGTAGATAAATATTTCATCTTTAGGGAAAATCTAAAAGTTATTCCTAAACACAAAGAAGGCGACATGTATGTTTTGCATGCTATGAGTAACATTCTAGCAAAGTATTTCACTGTTACTTCTACCAAAGAGATTCTTACAAAGCACCTTTATTCAAATAACTGTGGACATGTTCACTTTACTAATAAACTAGCTTCTATTAGAAATATCACCATACTCTTTTTCAAGGATATATTTTAGAAGTATCCAAATATGTAAATAATTAGTGATCATTGGAGAGGTGTATAATTGTGGAGTAAACTATATGAAGCAATGTAGATGGTGGAGAAGTGCTCTAAGAATAGGAATTATTGACCTACTGTTTCTTATATGCTTTTCTGTATGTTCCACTTTCCTTGGTCTAGTCAAGAAATAGCTCTCCCTGAAGTCCCACAGATGCCTCAAACCCACTATGGCCAGAACTGAACTTCTCTTGCCCTTGCCCATTTTACAGCCTGAATCCATAGTGATCTCCTGTATTCCTTGTTTCTGTTAATGGCCTCACCACCTGCCCTGAAGTCCAAGCCAGAAAACTGTGATTCATTCTCAGCTCTCTTCTCTCTTATTTCTCATCTAGCCTGTTCTACTTCCATTCCCTCTAACTCATCTGTCTCCTACACCACTTCTATTGCCTTAGTTCCAGCCTATGATCTCTTTCCCATGTAGACTGTTTTAGCTGATTTCTCTCTCTCATACCTCAGCTCTCCAGTCCAGATCATTCTGAACCTAAAATCTGATTGTCTTTTCTTTGCATGAAAACCCTTCTGTAAAATCCTTGTCACTACTCTAGAGGATAAAATTCAGGGCTCTCAGCCTGGCATACAGGCCCTTCATGATCAGTAAAGAAAGTGAAGTCACTCAGTCGTGTCCGACTCTTTGCGACCCTGTGGACTGTAGCCCACCAGGCTCCTCTGTCCATGAGACTCTACAGGCAAGAATACTGGAGTGGGTTGCCAGTTCCTTCTCCAGGGGATCTTCCCGACCCAGGGATTGAACCCAGGCCTCCCACATTGTGGACAGACACTTTAGCCTCTGAGCCGCCAGGGAAGCCCTCATGATCAGTAGCCCCTACCTAACTCTGCTGCTCACTGAGCCTCATGTCTTCCCAGGCCTCCACATGCATTCCAGCCAGTATCACACTACTGGTCATACTTGGATATGCCAGGCAGTCAGCAGTTTCCTTTTGTTGGTCGTGTAGTATTCTGTACATCCTTCTGCTATCGAATTATTTTAATTTTTATTGCCCTAGCCACTGAGCAACTGAGCACTGATTGTACTAGCAGGGGGTGCTGGCAGAGATAGCTTCTTTATAGCAATGTGGCTGATGCATAATAGGTTTGTTTTTAGGTTTGTTTAACTCTCTCAGTCATTTATGACTCCTTTTGCAATGCCATGGACTGTAGCTCTCCTGGCTCCTCTGTCCACGGGATTTTCTAGATAAGAATACTGGAGGTGATGGCCATTTCCTCCTCCAGGAGATCTTCCTGACCCAGGGGAATTGAACCCACATCTGTTGTGTCTCCTGCATTGGCAGCCCAATTCTTTACCACTGGGCCAACTGGGAAGCCCGACACATAATAGACATAGTCAAATGCTGGTTGAATGAATGAATGAAACCATTCTGAAGTCGCCCATTGGGAAACACCACTCCAAACCTCTCATTTAATAAAATCTGCCCATTTTTTCACACTTAGAGCATAATTGTCAGGTTATGGATAATAATTATGTATTATGGGCTGCAGGTAAATATAGTTCATCCTATCATTATCCATATGGAGCATCATTCATATTTCAGTACTGTATTAACTCATTGACTCTTTCAAAAAATATGTATTGAACAGCTGCTGTGTGTAAGGCACTGTTGTGGGTGTTGTACATGGTTCTAACAGTGAACCTGTCAAATCTTTGGAAACTAATAACTCTCAACTTTGATCATCAACTTGAAAGTTTATGTGCTTTCATTATAAATGAACAGAACCAAAAACAGTAGAAAGGAAGAATTTGAATAGAACATGATATTTCCTAAGGTTCCCTAAATTATAAAGTATGTTGTAGAGAGGTATGAGGGACAGAGGAAGGAGCAACAGTTTTTTTAATGCTTTTTGTGTGCTAGGAACACTACATGAATTTTTTCATTTAACTTTCATTACTATAACTCTGGGTTTCCCTGGTGACTCATTGGGAAAGAATCTGCCTGCCAATTCAGGAGACTCAAGTTCAATCCCTGGTCCAGGAAGATCCCAAAGGAAGGAAATGGCTCCCCACTCCACTATTCTTGCCTGGAAAACCCAATGGACAGAGGAGCCTGGCAGGCCACCCAGTCCATGGGGTCGCAAAGAGTTGGACACAACCGAGCAAATCAACAACAACAATAACTATAACTCTAAAAAGTTTTGTGCCACTTAATACAAGGAGAGAAAAAGTCTTAGAGTTTAAATGTTTATGCAATTTTACTCTATTGCTTAAAAAGAGTCTTGGAAGTCTCAGAATTCCACAAATACTCAATGTGGTAGAAGCAAGATTTAAAAACTCATTATCTTATATACGCACTACTATGTATAAAATAGATTCCTAAAAAAAAAAAAAAAGATTCCTATTGAAAGCCTAATGTATAGCACAGGGAATTCTGCTCAGTGCTCTGTGATGGCCTAAATGGGAAGGAAATCTAAAAAAGATTGGACATATGTATCTGTATAGCTGATTCACTTTGCTGTAGTAGTAGAAACTCACACAACATTGTAAAGCAGCTATATTCCAACAACAACAACAAAAAACCTCATTGTGTTTCCATTACTTTATCTAGATCCTTTCACCAAGACTGAAGTTACTACCATATAAAGTTCATTCAACAAATACTTGCTG